GGGGGCTCCAGGCTGCCTTGGGGGTCTCAGGGGCAGCTTTGGGGGTCCCTGGGGCTCTTTTGGGGGGTCCCAGGGGCAGCTTTGGGGGTCCTTGGAGCTCCCTTGGGGGTCTCAGGGTCAGCTTTGGGGGTCCCTGGAGCTCCCTTGGGGGTCTCAGGGGCAGCTTTGGGGGTCCTTGGGGCTCTTCTGGGGTCTCAGGGGCAGCTTTGGGGTCCTTGAGGCTCTTTCAGGGGTCTAAGAGCCCATTTGGGGGTCCTTGGGGCTCTTCTGGGGTCTCAGGGGCAGCTTTGGGGTCCTCGGGGCTCTTCTGGGGGTCTCAGAGCCCATTGGGGGGTCCTTGAGGCTCTTTTGGGGGTCCCAGGGGCAGCTTTGGAATCCCTGGGGCTCTTTTGGGGTCCCAGGGTCAGCTTTGGGGAGTCCTCAAGGCTCCCTTAGGGGTCTCAGGGGCAGTTTTGGGGTCTCAGGGTCCATTTGGGGGTCCTCGAGGCTCTTTCAGGGGTCTCAGAGCCCATTTGGGGGTCCTCGAGGCTCTTTTTGGGGGTCTCAGAGCCACTTCAGGGGTCCTTGAGACTCCCTTTGGAGTCTCAGGGTCAGTTTTGGGGTCCTTGGGGCTCTTTTGGGGGTCTCAGAGCCCCTTTGGGGGTCCTTGAGGCTCTTTTGGGGGTCTCAGGGTCAGCTTTGGGGAGTCCTCAAGGCTCCCTTGGGAGTCTCAGGGGCAGTTTTGGGGTCCCAGGGTCAGCTTTGGGGTCCTTTGATGCTCTTTTGGGGGTCTCAGAGCCCATTTGGGGGTCTTGAGGCTCTTTTGGGGGTTCTCAGAGCCACTTTGGGGGCTCCTTGAGGCTCCCTTGGGGGTCTCGGGCAGTTTTGGGGTCTCAGGGTCAGCTTTGGGGTCCTTGGGGCTCTTTTTGGGGGTCTCAGGGCAGTTTTGGGGTGCTCAAGGCTCTTCTTGGGGGGTCTCAGGGCAGTTTTGGGGGTCTCAGGGTCAGCTTTGGGGTCCTTGGGGCTCTTTTTGGGGGTCTCAGAGCCCATTTGGGGGTCCTTGAGGCTCTTTTGGGGTCTCTGAGTCAGTTTTGGGGGTCTTTGAGTCTCTTTTAGGGATCCTTGAGGCTCTTTTTGGGGTCTCAGGGCAGTTTTGGGGGTCTCAGGAACAATTTTGGGGTCCTTGAGGCTCTTTTGGGGGTCTCAGGGCAGTTTTGGGTACCCACGCAGAATTTTGGGCGCCCATTCAGGAATTTGGGTACCCACGCAGGATTTTCATGCAAGATTTTGGGTACCCGGGCAGGAATTTGGGGTACCCAGGCAGGATTTCGGATGCTCAGCGGGTTTGGGGGTGCCCAGTCAGGATTTTGAGGTACCCAGGCAGAATTTTGGGTACCTGGACAGGAATTTTGGGTGCCCATTCAGGAATTTGGGTACCCAGACAGGATTTTGGGTACCTGGACAGGAATTTTGGGTGCCCATTCAGGAATTTGGGTACCCAGACAGAATTTTGGGTACCTGGACAGGAATTTCGGGTACCCAGTCAGGATTTTGAGGTACCCAGACAGGATTTTGGGTACCCGGGCAGTATTTTGGGTGCCCATGCAGGATTTGGGGGTGCCCAGTCAGGATTTTTGGTTTCCAGGCAGAATTTTGAGTACTCATGCAGGAATTTTGGGTACCCAGCCAAGATTTTGGATGCTGAGCGGGTTTGGGGTGCCCAGTGAGGATTTGGGGGTGCCCAGGCAGTATTTTGGGTGCCCACGCAGGAATTTGGGGTACCCATGCAGGATTTTGGATGCTGAGCGGGTTTGGGGTGCCCAGTGAGGATTTGGGGGTACCCAGTGAGGATTTGAGGGTACCCAGTCAGGATTTTGAGGTACCCACGCAGGAATTTGGGGTATCCATGCAGGATTTTGAGATACCCACGCAGGATTTTGGATGCTGAGCGGGTTTGGGGTGCCCAGTGAGGATTTGGGGGTACCCAAGCAGAATTTTGGGTGCCCATGCAAGAATTTGGGTGCCCATGCAAGAATTTGGGTACCCAGACAGGATTTTGGGTACCAAGCCAGGATTTTGGATGCTCAGCAGGTTTGGGGTGCCCAGTGAGGATTTGGGGGTGCCCAGGCAGTATTTTGGGTGCCCATGCATGAATTTGGATACCCAGACAGGAATTTGGGTACCCAGACAGGATTTTGAGATACCCACGCAGGATTTTGGATGCTGAGCGGGTTTGGGGTGCCCAGTGAGGATTTTGGGGTGCCCAGTGAGGATTTTGGGGTGCCCAGTGAGGATTTGGGGGTGCCCGGGGGGGTTTGGGGTGCCCAGGCGGGGGCTCAGCACCTTCATCCCCCAGCCCATGGAGATCTTCGTGGACGACGAGACGAAGCTGACGCTGCACGGGCTGCAGCAGTACTACGTCAAGCTGAAGGACAACGAGAAGAACAGGAAGCTCTTCGACCTCCTTGACGTGCTCGAGTTCAACCAGGTCAGGGGGAGAGCACCCCGAAATCCGCCTCGAAATCACCCCGAAATCCTGCCCCGAAATCCCTTGAAATCCTCCCCAAAATCCCCCTGAAATCCTCCCCAAAATTCCCTGAAATCTGGCTGAAATCCTCCCCAGATCCCCCTGAAATCCACCCCAAAATTCCCCTTGAAGTCACCCCGAAATCCTCCCCAGAATTCCCTGAAATCCTCCCCAAAATCCCCCTGAAATCCTCCCTAAAATCCTCCCCAAAATCCTTCTGAAATCACCCCGAAATCCTGCCCCAAAATCCCCTGAAATCTGGCTGAAATCCTCCCCAAAATCCCCCTTGAAATCACCCTGAAATCCTGCCCCAAAATCCCCTGAAATCTGGCTGAAATCCTCCCCAAAATTCCCCTTGAAATCCCCCCAAAATCCTGCCTGAAGTACCCCTGAAACCCGCCCCAAAATCCCCCTGAATCCACCCAAAAATCCCCCAGAAATCCATCCGAAATCCCCCTGAAATCCTCCCTAAAATCCGCCCCAAAATCTCTCTGAAATCCTGCCTGAAATACCCTTGAAATCCCCAAGAAATCTGGCTGAAATCCTCCCCAAAATCCACCTGAAATCACCCCGAAATTCTGCCCCGAAATCATCCCAAAAGCCACCCCAAAATCCCCAAAATCCACCCAAAAACCCACCCCGAAAACTCCCTGAAAATCCACCTGGGGGGATTTTGGGGTGGGATTTTGGGGGTGGTCCTGGCCCCACGGGGGGTTTTGGGGTGGGATTTTGGGTGGGGTTTTGGAGTGCCCAGGAGGTTTTGGGGTGCCCAGGATGGATTTTGGGGTGGGATTTTGGGGGTGATGCCCATCCTGGAGGGGATTTTGGGGTGCCCAGAGGTAATTTTGTGGTGCCCAGGGGGGATTTTGGGGTGGGATTTTGGGGGTGATCCCCCATCCTGGGCGGGATTTTGGGGTGCCCAGGATGGATTTTGGGGTGCCCAGGATGGGTTTCGGGGTGGGATTTTGAGGGTGATTCCCCATCCTGGCTGGGATTTTGGGGGTGATCCCCATCTTTGGGAGAATTTTGGGTTGCCCAGCAGGTTTTGGGATACCCAGGGGTGGATTTTGGGCGCCCAGCGGTTTTTGGGGTGCTCTGACCCCCCGTTTTTGGGGACCCCCAGGTGGTGATCTTCGTCAAGTCGGTGCAGCGCTGCATCGCCCTGGCGCAGCTGCTGGTGGAGCAGAACTTCCCGGCCATCGCCATCCACCGGGGCATGCCGCAGGAGGAGAGGTGGGACCCCAAAACACCCCAAAATCACCCCAAAA